CTGTTGCGGCCGCTAGCATCCCTTGAAACGCAACTCTGCTGGTCGAAGAAACAGAGGGGCTGTACAAGGAGTAAAAACGCTGAAAATCTCCTGAAACTGCAGCTCCTCTCGTAGAATCACTGAATTCAAAGCGGCAGAGACGATGGATAACGACTGATGAAACGCTGCATTTCTCACAGTCGAGTCGCAAGGCATGGACACTGCCCCGCCACCATGGCGCAGCTGAATCTACAAAGCACTGTGTTGCGAAAGACTTCGCTGACACCGCTGCTGCTCACATCCTCTATATGTCTGAAACAGCGACAGACAAAGACGCCCGCAGGACAGTGCAGAAAGAATATTTTCTAAACCTTGGCAACAGCCCCGGAAAAAGTCCTCCATCCGCTTCATACACTCTAGAGGAAATAAATGAAACACTGGTAGCCAGGAGAAAAAGAACGCTATTTGTGTGGATGGAACTTACGCGAAATTTCTGAAGAACCTCACTTTTCACGGCAATCCATACAGCTGGAGAAATTCCGTCCGCTTGGCGACGTGTCGAAATACTCGCCCTCTTAAAGTCAGAAAACCTTGCGGAGAAGCCAGGCAGCTACAGACCTATCTATTTACTGTGAATAGCCAGGAAACTGATGAAGCGGACTTTGCTGATGCGTCTTTCCCCTCTAATTGAAGCCGCCCTCCCAGTGAAACAAGATGACTTTCGATCTGGGCACAGATGTTGCGAACAACTACTTTCGCTCACCTGCCTCAGTGAGGCAAGATTCTAACGGAAACAAAAAAGGTCATTTTTCATCAGCTTATGATATGGTCTAGCTTGATGGTCTCATGCGCAAAGTTTCCAGAATAATCAGACACTAGAAGACCATTCGCATTATGTCAGCCATGATTAGTGACAGTCAACATCAGGTTTACATCGATGGACTGGTCAGCAAGGAAAAATCTTTAACAACGGATTCCCACAAGGTGCAGTACTTTCTCCAGAGCAGTTTAACACCTATACCACCGACCTTCCACTAACAAAGTTGAAGAAATTTGTTAACACCGGTGATATCGCGCTAGCAACCGAACATACTGACTTACAAAAGCTAAGCTGTATATTCAAAGCTGATCTCCACATTTTTACGCAATATTTTCCCCAGTGGAACCTACATTCAAACCAGAAGACTAAAGAGACAGTCCAGACGACGTATAGACCTCTTGTCTTCCACCTAGACAACCAAGCAGAAGCTCACAGTTGAACTCTGTGGTCAACGCGTGTAGCATGAAACGACAACAAAATATCTAGCGGTCACTCTTGGTCGGATCTCACGTTTAAGTCACATTTGGAAAAGACACAGCAGAAGATCATGACGATAAATCTGCTACGAAACCTTGTCGACATCTCTTGGGGAGCAGGTGCCCGAGCTACAGATACCACATGAGCAAATTAGACACGCAGTTCAATGAAGTGATGCGAATAGTAACAGGAACCTTGAAGCCAACCCAAATACAGCGGTTACTGATTCTGGTGCGCAGTGAGACCCCTCGCCTCCGGAAGGGCGAGCAAGCGTCCCGCGTTTGCTAGAATATTGACAGAAATCGCCAACTTCTAATCTGTCGTGTCCTTTAACAGCCATTAGCACGACGTCTGAAATCGCGCCACTCACCTGGGAACGAGCGACGACGCCGCATCTGAGTCTCGAAGAACAATGGGACGCCACAGCCGTCCTAAGACCTAATCTCCAACCAGACTACAGAACCCCCTGGCATGGACTTGTACGCCAATAATAGTCTAGGTTAAACAGGATTCGAACAGGACAAGGGCGCTGCGAACACCTACTCCATCGTTGGAAGATAAAGTTCAGATTGCAGTATGACTGTGACCATGCAATATGCTATTTCCAGATGCCCTCTGCGAAAATTCTACGGTAGCGTAATTGATGCCCAGAATGCTACGCGGCGGGAAATCACTGTCTTAGAAGCCATGACATTGCGCTGTAAAGTTGCAAGTCACCTTCCCAACCATACGACTGAATGAAGAAAATATAACAGCGTGTTCATGCAAAAGATTTAAGCAGTGAATTACCAGTTAAGCTAACCCCGGTCCACAAAGCACAAGGCGGAACAAAAGTAATTCAAGAAAGACGAAATTTAAAAAAAACTAGACTAGAAACTATTTCAGTAACTTATAGAGAGAAAAGTTTTAAACCTTTCAACAAAGCTTAATTAAAACTGCCCTACTGTACCATTCAAATGCTGATTTAAAAGAAAGTGGAAGAGACTTAATCTACAGCATCGGCATAGAGTGGACAAAGTAAGGACTCGAAAAAGGAAACAGATTCCTTCGAATTTATATCAGAACCGAGTACAACGTTAAATGACGTGCCGATATATGATGCCAAAAACACGATGATAAATTAAGAGAGTTTTCGAATAAAAATCGCTGTTCCTTCCCTGCGCAAAGCAGTCTCGACCCAAAACTTTAACCGTCTGCGTGCCAGAAAGCTCGCTAATGCTTAAGTTGTAGTGGCAACAGTTTTAGAGGATTTAACGAATGGCTCAGGAATCAAGCAAACGTGTGTCTTAATAACTAATAACTCAACGAAGACAAGATTTCACGCGTATTGTATCGCCTCATCGCTCCTAGTTTACTACAGGGTCGCCGTTTAAGCAGGCCACGGCATTATGGTAACAGAGCACCTACAGTACCAGATGCATTCCGCATCATTTTGTCTGCTAGAGCTATCTAGCATGCCTTAAGAACTGTTTCAGGAGCTGGTACCACTCATATACTGCCGCATAAACATCATCAGTTGTTCGTACGCCCAACTGTGTCAAAAAAAGAATGACTCCCTGGAGCAAAATAGCGGTGAAATACGCCGTGAAATCTGCTCTTGGAGGATTCTTCGGAGTCATTCGTGATTTGACACAGTTTGGAGAACGAACAACTTAATGTCTATGCGGTGGCGTATGAAGAATACCAGCTTCTGACACATCGTTTGTGATGAGTGCTAACTAGCTACAGCGGAAAAAAGATAAGAGATGCACCTGGCATTACAGTTGCTTAAATACCAAAAAGCTGTGGCCTGCTTAAATGGCCGACCTTGTAGAGAAGTAGGCGCCAGGCGACGGTGCAACAGGTCATGAAATCTTGGAGTAGTCATTCATTATCTGACATACTCAGACGTAGGAACAACTTATGCTTAAGCGAAAGCGCGTGCTTTCAGTGATTGACTCCGGAACTATTTGAAGTTGAGAGAGCTTTGTTTGTGATGTAAGGTGCTTCCGAAGTTTCCATT